CCCCCAAGCCCCGCCATGCCGACGGCTCTTGTCTCCCTCCCCACTTTTTGATGCTATCTCTCTTCTCTCTCCCCCCTCCCGCCGGGCTCGTCATTAGCGCAGTAGTATTGGAGACGAAGCCCGTGCCCTCCGCTACACTCCGTCCCCTCGGCGGCGAAGACGGCTGGCTGTACGTCCACGCAGCCACCCGCCCTTCCGAGGCCTTTCCCCACGCGCGCTCTCCAGCCTCCCCTACATACGCCTCGCTCCCCGCCTCAGGGTCCAAGGCTTAACTTTTCTCACGCCCTGACCCAGGTTCGCCGGCAAGCAACTCTCCAGTCCAGAAAGCAAGCAGCCCGTCAGTGGGAAGAAGCCTGTTCCCGGGGGGGGGGGCTGGGCTGCTTGGATCCTTCGGCTTAATTTTATTTTATTATTCGGTTTCGTTTTGCTCTGGTTCTGTGGAAAACCACTCGGAGAGGGAAACGGTGAGCAAGGGGTTGGACTAGATGACCTAAAGTCCATATATTTTTTCCCCAGCAGGGCCATATTAACCCATGGCCGGGCCTCTAGACTTTCAGGTATTTCAGATCCCTTCCGGCACTTCACTGTTTCACCCCGACTACTGTACAGCCGACAGCCCTAGGACGCCTCAGCTTCAGACTAGTCAGTCTTCCGAATAACAGCCTAACCTTCCAGCCATCTCTAATAGTACTCAGGAGAAAATGGAACAACTTCTATCCATATATTCTTCACTGCCCTGAAATTCTACTTCACCCTTATCAAAACATCACAAAATACAAACTTTCCCCTCCTCACCCACCCCTTCTAGTGTAAGAGTTTTAAATCTTCTAAGGAACAAGTTATCTGATCTAGTTGTTCCAGAGAAACAAAGTGCCTTTTTGTTGTAACTGCCCTCTATTCAAATCCCCATCAAGCCCCCCCCTTGGCAGAACCCTTGTCAACTGCGCAACTGGTGTTTTTATGGTACATTTTTAAAGCATAATATGCACAATAGCAGTATTGTTTTTCTGTGGGGCTTTTATTCTCTTTATAATGAAACAGCTGCTGTGATAGGACTTTTGTGTGAGGGAGGGCCAAGACTTACATATTTGTTACATTTTCACTGGAAGGGGGGGGGAAGTCTATTTACTTTTTGTACATCATAAGTCATGGCAACTTGGTAGAAGCCATGGTAATAGCCATGATTAAACAACAATAAAGAAAAACCTTGTAACTTAGTATTCAGCTCCTATAACAACAAAGATGCACTGCCGTTGAGCAACTTTCCGTGAGGTATAGCGTTCAATATGGATCAGAGACATCATCAGTAATTGTGGTGCCTTGGATTTATAGCGTGAATGGTTCAGATGGGGGTGATGTGAGACTAGAGTGCAGGATACGTCATAATAGACTCAAGTTACAGGAAGCCAGATTTTAGTTGAGTATCAGGGAAAACTTCCTAACCATTAGAACAGTACAACAACAGAACCAATTATCTCAGGAGGTGGTGAGTGCTCCAAAACTTGTTAAGGTTTTGGCAACAGTAAAATACGCAGAGTTATTAAAGACACTTTACCAGTTCTTCTTGTGTTGCAAGACAGTTGTATTTACACGTATTTACAACTATATACAGGCAGGTATCTTAACAGCACAGCAGGAACTCTTTATACAAACTGGCAGCATGCGTGGCAGCAAGTGATAGTGGAGGAAGAAGAGAGACACAAAGACACAGTCCACTTATATACATTTACATGGCATATTTTGTCCAATCAGAAAACAGATGACTTCATGCTTTGCACCTGGTCTTCTCCTGGTTTCAAGTCATTACATCATGTCCAGAGTGATTCAGCACTCTCACATCTGTGCACAATGGCAGCTCGTTAATGAAACACATACACAGGTTCAGGCTTATAAAATTTCTATACTCTGACGCCCCTCCTAATTTTTTATGCCTGAACATAACACATTCCCAGCTCATTTACACACTTCTCATGCTTCTGTGTTTCACTCTTTCTGTTTCAGCCATGTAGTGTTGTCTTGCATTACCTTTTATTGCACCATTTGTTTTATTCAAAACCCATATATTTTCTAACTTTCATTTAAACACACATTTGTTACCTGTAACCTTTGTGTTCTGTATGCAGCTTTATTTCTGTAAACACCTTGTGTTTTTCCATGTACTCCATTTTCTCATCCAAGGCACCTAGCCATTTTCTCTTTTCAAAAACAGGAAGTTCAAAAACCTCTTTGTAATTTCTGGGTTCTACATAAACATGACAGACTCTCACACCACCCACTCCAAATCTCTTGGGTGGCACACCCTTGTTTGTCCTTTCAGACCTCCTAGGACCTTGTGTTTCTGTCTCTATCTCTGGCTCACTAATCTCACTGTGTTTTTCTTCGTGTTCTTCGTGTCCTTCATCATCTTCTTCATCTTCACCAGCAGAGGACTTCATGTCTTGCTCATGTGTTTCTGTCTGTCTAAACTGACTTCTTCT